ATGTAGTTTCTCCGAGCTTCAGAGTGGTTTGTCAAAACAAGGCTCTGCGCACCCTTCTTGCCACCACAAGTCCACTGGGCAACATGCTTGTGAGGGTCACTAACCTCCTACTTCCTAGAGATAAGATACTATGGGCTGGCCCAGAGGCCCCTAAGCTGGAACTGATCAGAATTCTCCCTCCCCAAGGATTAGCTTTCCATGCGAGCTTCGAAAGGAGGGAGGCAGCCAACAGTCCTAGCCAGATATGCTGCCTAAGAACCACACCAACAACCAGGATGGCATGATAACCCTATGGGTGCAGGATGTTGCACATACCTTGATGGACGTAAGACTCACTCAGTAAGAGGAATGCCATGCCTGGTACTGGAAACCTAGGTTGCCTAACCAAGTGCTTGTGAAAGTATGGTTATTGGTGTAGAATCTACAACCATCAAATTACTAAACCAGAATAACCCCTGGAAAAAACTTTTGTCCTCACAGACTAAATCCTCACCTCTCATCAAAGAAACATTCTCTTTGCAAAACAGGGAGACTACTACCGAAAACCACAACCAAGCCATATGCAGACTTGTGGAGCCCAGTCAGAATGGATACATCTATAAAACACTCTGACACCTAATGCTCAGGGAACCTTGTGGAGGAGGGCATGAAAAGATTGTAAGAGCCAGAGGACTAAGGACTTTGCTATGAGATTGTGTCTCCTAGTAACATCAGAAGCTATACTCATGAAGTCTCACCAAGATGGCCACCCAAATGTCTGTTGAACATGGAAGACACCAACAGGTGTGACAAACTAAATGGGGGGAAAGCCCATGAGGCTTCAGCCCCATACAAAGAACTATAGGCAACCAAGTAAAGCTGAGCTGGAGAGAGTCCACCCCAGGGAAGAGTCTACCAATTGGTTTATCCAGTGCCAAACCGTCAGTCCTGAAAACATACATACAAGTAACACTATACAGACTAGGAAGGCTATATTTAGGAAGACATATGTATATATACAAATACATACAGGCATTCAATAACAATTGATGAAAAAAGAGGCTATTACTTTGAGGGATAGCAGGAAGGAGTATATTTTGGAAGGGAGAAACACTGATTAAAAGACAAAAACAACAACAACAAAACCAAACACTAAGGCCTGTTGATACCCTCACTTTACTTAGCCCCCTCATGCAACCTAAGTAACTCAAAAATGTCCTAGGAGAAGAGGAAATCAGTAAACATAAAAATAAAGTGAGATCTCCATAAAGGAGGCTGTGTTATGGAGAGGCACAAAAAGGTAGATTAACCATGATCAAGAGGAGATACAAAAGAGAAAATACTTGTCAGATGCCAATGATTGCACCTGTGGGCGTTTTTCATCAACCCCGTGCCCAGGGTGAACTCTCCAGTCCACCAACCAGGCTGAGTCAAGGGATCTAAGGAACCAGCCTTGCCTGCCAGATGCCTGAAGCCAGCCTCCCTCGGAAATCCAGCAGCGGCAGGTGGTTCTCCAGTTTTCCTTCTGGTTTGCTAACAGGTGGCAAGGGACTATACCCAGCTGGCTGTGAAGACCTGGCCAGGGCAACAGGATGCAGGACGCCTTCAGAGTGCCAAGCCAGCACCAATGCCAAGATAAGGCCAGCATCTCTACTAAAAGGCTTAGGACAATGACAGTATCAAGCATGCATGACTTCAAAGTAGACTCCTATAAAAACCAACTGAATATAGAGTCCCTAATGTTGGCTTGTTGTATTCACAAATGCTAGTTTAAGCTTGGAGGCCATTCTTCGGTGGGGCTGTACCAGCATCCTTAGCTTCCAGGTCATTCCTGCTTAGCTCCTGCAAAGCCGTGTAATGCCAACTCGGAATCCAGCATGTTTTCTGTAATATCAAGGTTAGCCAAAGGCAGGACTGCAATCAGCTTTTCCTGAAGTCAAGCAAGACCCCCACCTTGTCCAACCCTGCCAAAGTCTAACGGTCCCAAGGACTAGTCTCATTAAAACCCCTCGATGCTGACTTCAGCTGTTTACGGCTGTGGCTGTTGTAACAGCAAAGTCTTCATTAACTAGAACCCTGAGAGAATTCTGCCATGCAGTCACACAGCAAATGCTTACTTAGTACCTGCCATGGGTTCTACAGCCTCCTGGGGATGGAGAATGCTAAAAAAAGAGCAACACAGCCGCCACCCCCACTCCTTGCAGCTTTCAAGTTGCCCTTGGCTTCTTAGGGCAGACATGCAGCACACAAAATTCTATGGCTGGAGAAGACATAGGAACAACTTGAGCCCCGCCAAATGGGAGTCTGGGAAAAGGCTCCTGGAGGTGGTGAACCTAGTTCTTTGCCACAGTGAAGGTGAATAGCAAGGGGGTAGCAGGGGATGGGCTTTTAAGGCACAGGAAGCAAGGTGGGAGAGATGATTTATTTCCACATTTCCTGTATTTTATCTTTAGGACGGAGGAGAGAAAGAGTCTCACTTCACAGGCCTGTTTAATTTACAAAAGAAAGAGAGCACACTGGACTATGAGCTCACGGTCAACTTAATTTCTTGGTCCCCTCCTGCCATTAGCCACAGGCTAGCACAGGATAATGGAGACTTTAAGGACTGAACTTTAAGTCCTTGCAAAATCCTGAATCATCAATGAAGACTCAGCTATGTTCCCTGGCAGGGGCTGCTCCTGAGCTTGAGGAAGGATGTAAAATGTATCCACTTAGTAAGCTTGCCTAAGTAATCAGAGCTCAAAGCTAGCCCAATAGGAGCTTTACTATAAAACACCCCATTTATCAGAAGCCACAAATCCTAGAACCAACCCAGCCTACCTCACATTTTCCTAACGCCGTGGCTCCTGGGTTCTGATTAGATCCTGTTAAGGTTTCCTACATGAGCTAGAAAACAGATTACAAACAGTCTTGGATTACCAAGGAGCAACCACAACCAGCGATGCTTCAGCAAAATACCCCAAGTGTCAAAACTGGGCTCATCAACAAAGCCAGACGCAAGGTTTCAAAGCATCAGTCCTACAATCCTGGACAACTGATTTTTGTCTCTTACAGCAGTCGAATTTCCATCCATAAAAGGTAAATTATAACCATTGGGTCATTATGGCCATGTGAGAGTTAGGCAACACTTGTGTATATCTGACACTGATGGTCTTAAGTCCTCCGGGTCCTCTCTGGGAAACCGAGGTCGGAGGCTTGGCACTGATAAGCCTGTTCCTCAGAGATGAGCAATTCTACAGTAATCACATTGTAGCAAGACAACATTGTGACTACAATAGGCTTTAGCTATTCTCTCTGTAAACTGGGAAAGGCAAGGCCGCAGGTGCCAGCTCTGAGAGGTAGGAGGAGGAGAAGGGGCCCACGGAGCTTCAATGGAGCCCAGGTTCATAAGCCATCCAATACACACACCTTTATCAGACAAGGTCTGCAGTCAGTTCATTTGTTGGGCCTTTTAAAACCACATGTATGCTATCATCTATTTCGCTTTAATTTGAATGCAGATGCTAGGGATGAATGCAAGTATAACCGTATTCCACCACGAAGGAACAGCGAAGGTTAAACTTTGTGTCCAGACACCTCCCAACACCTGCAAATACACAGGGATAAAAGGCTTGAACAACCCAAATCCGTGTCCCTGGCAAAGTGTTCCATCCTTCCTCCAGCAGCTCCCTAAGTTTTCAGGGATGCAGTCTCTTCAAGGGTTTTGTAACCTGGAAGAAACCTGTTGCAAACATCTGAGGTCCTGTGTGGACGCCCCCACCTGGTGGCCAAATCTGGGAAAGCTCTCCCAGCCTTAAAAGACAGGCACTTCACAAACAGAAGACATTCCCTGACCTCTTCCCCTCTTTGTCACTCAAGGGTCAACTAGACAGAAACCAACTGCCTAAAATAGGAAGGGTCCAGGGTCAAGGTCACAGTCAATTGCCTTCCCAATCCCTGACCCATACAGCTCCTAGGAAGCAGCTGGTCCCAAGCATTCTGACAGAATTTCAGGTGGGGAATCCCTCTGCTAGGATCCTGTATTCCTCCTTAAATATGGGTGTATTTTCTGGCCCCGAACCGGTACAGCTGGAGTTCCATTTTCCTTCTGGCTTGGCATTTACCTCCTGACTAGCATGGAAATTATTTCTAGAGGAGTCCCTGGGGACAAACTTCCCACCAGGACTCTCGGGTGCCCAAAGCTGTGGTCAGGCCAAACTGATAGGTGGGCAACAGTTGAAGCTACTGAGATAGCAGAACCTCGAGTATGGGATGTTAAAGCCCGAAACCATAGGGATGGTCCAGCCTTAGATAGCCTCGCCCCACTCTGGCTCTGCTAAAACCCAGCCCTTAGACTAAGGTTGGAAATCCCGCCCCTCTCCTATTCTATTCGTTTTCCTAATAGAATACAAAGACCTGTATTTTGGCCTGTGCGAGGTCCCAGTTAGAGCAAAACCGAGTTCTTTTTCACATCAGTCAGCATCGAGCCCTTAGGAAGGGTAGCACACTCATGTAACACGCGCATACACACATACACACACACACACACACACACACCACTATGGGCAGTGTACACACTACTCTGGGATACATCATCTAAATTGAGTGGTGATCGCAAGAGAAGCAAGCTAGCCACCGCAAGACGAAACAGTAATTATGAGAAGACGGTTTTGTCCAACTCAGCTGCTACATTCATTAGAAAAAAAATCATCTAATTCCTCTAAGCTTCCGTGTCAACATCACAGAAGGTACCACAAACGCGCACCCGCGCGCACTCGCTAGTCCAAATCTCCAAGTCAGCTCGGCAACCACGTTGGTTCATTTAAGCCCTTGGTGTCCAAGGAGCTGCTCTCAGTCACACAGCAGAGAACCATGCATGGGCTAAAACCAGACTGGTGCCACCCTCCGCGCCCACCCCCCAACCCAAGCCAGAGAGCGCTTCTAAGTGGCCAAAACCACAGACACTTCCTCAGCTTCAGCCCCGGCCCCGAACCCTAAGGTGCACGGCCGCCAAGGGGCGCCCCGAGCGACCGGGTACTCACACGAGCGCGTGGTAGAGCAGCGCCCAGCCCCGCGGTCTCTCCAGGGCATCGTAGATCAAAGTTTGGATGCGTCTGTACTTGGCGTTGTTCCTCTTGACTGGGCGGCTCAGGGGGGGTCTTGGCCAGGAGCCCGATGCCCTGCGGGGTCCTCCGCTGCCCCTCTTCGCGGCCACCGCCCTCCAGCAGCAGGGTCCCGTCTTTGTCGGTCCCGGCCCCTAGAGCCAAGGTGACTTGCTCCACGTCTCCTGGCGCCAGCCCCACTTTCCGCTCCTCGTCGCCGGCCACCGCCGCGTCCCCTCCGGCCGGGTTAGCTGCCCCGCCGCCTCCGCCGCCCCCTTCGCCGCCGCCGCCGCCGCCGCCGGCCGCCCCCGCTGCCCTGCGAGCCTTGAGCCCCATCTGCCTCGCCCCCACCGGGCGCTTCGCCTTCTCCGCTGCTGCTCTGGGAAGAAGGGGCGCTTGGGGTGCGTGAACGAAGCGGCGGCGGCGGCTGCAAACCCGGGAACTCCAATGCCATGATCCGCGCGCCCCTCCCCGCCCACCCCCCCAAAAGCAGGCAAAGGCGGGCCTCCCAGGGGGCAGGGGAGGTCGGGTGGGGGAGTCAAGGGGGTCACATCCCGAGCGGGTCCGCCGCGGGACCCCGAGGAACGCGGGGAGCCCGGGTCCGCGGGGAATCCGGCGAGGGCGCGCGAGGCTGGCGCGGTGGCGCTAGGGCGCGCGGCGGCGGGAGCCTGGCACCGAAGCTCCCGGGAGGCGGCGGCGGCGGCGGCACCCGGGCCGGCGAGCCCGAGACAGCATCGCAGTTTATTTACAAGCCCTGTGCCAGCCGCCCTCCCGCCCGCCCGCCTGGCACACGCGCCGCCGCCTCCTCCCTCCTCCCCGCTCCCGCCCGCGCCCAGCCCGCCGCTTCAGCCCTAGCCCCGCTGCAGCGGCAGAAGCAGGCGAGCTTGGGCGGAGCGCTCACCACCCGCAGCGCTCACGGCTTCCCTCCCTCCTTCGCAGGGGTGGGGCCCCATCGTTCCCGCCCCTCGGTTGCGGGAGGCCCTGGCGACGCCTCGTCTCTCCCTGCCGCCCCCCTACCCATGCTAACCTTGGGGGCCCGCATCGCCCAAGCTGAGGCCTCGGCTGCTGCTTCTGCCCTGTTGTGAATGCTGCGGCAGTGGCGCAGGAGCTCCCCGAACCCCGTGGGCGTTGGGGGTTCCCCCTGGGCGAGAGGAGAAAATAAAAGGGAGGTGGGCAGAAACTGGCTGCAGCTTTAGGTTCAGTCTCCACACTCCACCTCTGCTTGTCTTTTGGAGGTAAAAAAAAAAAAAAATCCAAGTTGCTGGGTTAGCTCACACCTCGCCCAGCTGGCTCCGCCGCGGTGGCAATGGTCGTGTTCAGGGCTCATGGGTGTTAACTGCTTCCAGTGGTCTTTGGGTAGCCCCTTGTACGTGTGGGTGGGCAGAGAGTTGGGAAATGCGTGTAACACCGGAATCACTATCCTAATTTCTGCTGGATTCCCAACACCCGCAGAAGGGAAGCCAGTCATGCCCTCTGATCCCATTAGGATCCTTCAGGGAAATCAATGAACCCCCAGCAGTGAATTTGTCCTGCGACAGGGTAGTGCTCTCCACGCAAGGTTTGAGGCCCTTGTGCTCATAAAACTTGAAAGACAAGAGGCCAGAAGGGAAAGCAATTGCAAGGCAAATTATTTCTGGGGTAGAAACGGAACCAGAAGAGCCATTCATTCTGTGACTTTGGGGAGCTGATCCCGGAAGACCCCACTGAGGAGGCGACATTTTGAGGTGACACAAATGTCAAGGTGAGAATAGCCATGGCAATGCCCAGAAGAGCCTTCTAGACAGCAGCGCGGAGGAGAAACGTGTCTCAGTCTGCTTGTGGCAGCAGCAGAAGTCTGGTCAGTCATCGGCACCGCTGGCAGAGGGCAAGCGCCCCATCACCCACCATGGGCAGGTTAGGGAAGCCCGCCTGCTGCCCTAGGGTACCATGACTCCTTACTGCCCCGCCTCCCCTCATGGCTGTCCCGTGTGGTACAGAGGACAGTAGAGCTGTGAGCAAGGCTCTGAATCCAGTCTGTCTACAGGAACAAACAAACAAACAAATAAACAAATAAATAAATGAATAAAAAGCAGGTGCTTGCTAGGGGAAGTTGGATGATCAGAACCAAATAGAATCTGAAGGGTCGAGGCCCCTGGAGTCAGAGAGGTCAGAGGAGAGGGAGGGAGGAGCCTGAGGACGGTCATCTAGTAGGATGAAGATGTTAGCTGTGTAGCTCTGGCGCAGCAATTGGCCGCTTGCTGCGTCAGAATTCTTTCCCCAGCAGCTGACCGGTGAGAATGAAACTGAAAATTGGAAAACTCAGGCCCACGTCCTCAATAGAGAAAAACATTTGCTGGTTAGATCGGAGGGTGTGCCTGAAACAGTCTGTGGGATCTGAACTGTGTTCAGAGCAGGGTAGGCTCTGAACAATATAAGTAGATGAATGACCCACAATGAGTTGGAGCATAGCAACAGCTCAGCACAAATTCTGAAGAGAAAGGGTCAAAGGAGAAGGGTTCCCCTGGCTTAAAAGCAACACCCTACCCCAAACCCCCACCCCTAGGCAGCAACATGTTCCAGCGTACTTACTAGGCCCTGCCCAGTCATCACTCACTAGGCACATGTGGCTATGCTGTAGAGAGTGGTTGAGCGTGTCTCACGGAGTTGAGTGTTGACGTATGATCCCCATTGTGAAGTATTCAGAGAGTGGAACATCAAGTTAACCAACCTCTGGTGTTTGGGATCCAATCAGGATTAGAAAAGATGACCGGGTGAGGTCACCATAACTAAATCCTGGTGGCTGTTTGAGAAGAGAGAAACCAAAACAGATAAAATGCACATGCATAGTGCATATCTTGACTTTCTCTTGCCGTGAATTAATTGCCCTGTGGTAATTCAAAGACTATTTCAAGATCCAGGCCCTTGCCTATGGCAAAACCACAGCCCAAACCAACCTCTCTGCTTTGTAAGTCCCCTAGCCTCCAGTAGTTCATAATAGCAACCTTTCTGACCCAATTCAATGCCGAACACCTACAGAATAATTTCCCCTTATTTAGAAGTACATTTCTGAAAGTTTCCCTTTCTCCTCAATTCCTTCCTGTTTTATTTGCCTATTGGCTTGTTTTTGCCACTGCCTAAAGCTATCGTGTCTATATTTTGTTTATTTCCTGGTGTTTTGTTGCTATGGTTTGAATTGTGTGCATCTTCCTCGGATTCATGCATTGAGCTCGTGGCTACAATTTGCCATTTGCATGGCTTCATCTTAGGACATACAGAAATTTTAGGAGGAAATGAGACCTACCTAGAAGAAATAAATCACTGGGGATTTAGTTCTTGAGGCATTCTTCCATCACCCCTCCCTATACCTGTGCCTCCTGTCCACCATGAGGCCAAGAGTCTACCACAAACCTGTCACCATAATGCCCTGCTGAGGTACACGGAGCTAAGAAACTATGAACTGAGACCCCTAAGGCAAAGAGCTGAGTGACATCTTTCTTCCCTAAGGTTGTTCATCAGATCTCTTGTCACAGTGATGAAGAAAGTACCTAAATTCTCAGTAAACAAGATCAAGCCCTAAGCATCCTCGCCCAATGCCTACAAGTACATATGTCCCATGAGAGGCTCTTGGTTCCCAAAGAAATTACAAATGTCTGTAAAGGGACAGTGTCCAGCTGCCAGCACACATTCAGCATACATTTTCACATGAAAACTGTAGGGATTTTGTTTTGTTTAATTGAAAAAAAATCTTCCTAGTGCTTAGTAAATCTTAGTCATTTCAAATTAAAACTAGTATATTTATGTTGTTGGTGTTCAAAAAGCCTTGCTAGATAAATGCCCAAGATGAACCTGGGGCCGTGCAGAAAAATAAAGATGTAATGATCTGTCTCAGTTGTCCACCTGAGTCACCTGGAAAGAAGGATCCTCTAGTGAGGAATTACAGTCATCGAACTGGGCTGTGGGCCTATTTATGGGTCCACTGTGGGTGGTGCCATCCCTAGGCAGGCGAGCCTGTGGTGTCTAAGAATAGTATATGAAGGTAAACTTAGGAGCAAACAGTTAAGCCGAATTCCTCCCATGGTTTTCCCGTCTAGCTCCTTCTTCAGCCTCCCTCAATGATGTCTTGTAACCTGTAAAATGAAATAAACCCTTTCTTCCCCAGGGTTGGTTTCTGTGAGTGTTTTAGCGCAGCAGTGGAAACAAAGCCGGGATAGAGACATAGTATCTTATTACTCAGCATTTAATAAAAAGTGTAACCATCAAATAATGGCACCTGGGATCTTCAGGTACATGAGGAGTTTGGGTGGAGATACAAAGGCCATTTCCAGGCCTCTCATAAAGGACGAAGCAAACTCAATATCAAAGCCATGACTCTGATCCAATTAAACCCCAGGGTAAAGGGACTGGCAGGTAATTGAGTCTGGAAAATTGACTCATTTCAATGGTTTTATAATCCAATGGAGAGAGCTGTTCAGATTTCTAATAGAGGACTTTGAAATGTCATAAAAGGCATGAGACATGGTAAGTACCGTTTGAGGGCCTGTGTAATCACAACACAGGGCCGAGTCTAGCCAAGGGGAATCACATGCCCTATATCCCTAAAGTCCCTAGGATCATGAGATGCCAATGGAACATAATAGCAAGGCAGAGGGAGGACAGTGTATCAAAAAAGGACAGCATGAGTTACAGTCCAAACAACAGGACATTCTAGTATCCCCTACTTCTCAGTCCCAGTCCATCCTATGACGTCAAATCCCAGCCGCTTGCTAATGCTCCAATCTGCCACCTCTTCCTTCCCTAAACACTTCGGATCTTTATATTAGTCCCATTTCTCTTGCTATAACACAACACCAGAAGCTGGAAACTTTGTAAAAGAAAAGATTTATTTGAGCTCATTGCTGGCCAAAAGTACAAGCTGTCATTTTGGAGAATAGGGTGGATCGGTGTGGGTGGGTCCAGCCTCTAGTGGAGGAATCTGGACTCTGTATTATTCTTCTGCTTCTGTAATAAAGCACCATGACCAGAAGCAACCTGTAGAAGGAGGAGTTCGTCTGGGCTTACAGTTCCATAGAGACAATAAGAGTCCATCATGTCAGGGCTCCATGGCAACCAGCAGCAGCCCGGACAGCAGGATCAGATAGCTGACTGCTAAGATCTCCAAATGCAAGCAAGAAACGGAGGGCACAAACAGCAAGCAGCTGAGGCCTCTAGCAAGGCTCCGCCTCCCAAAGGTTCCACACCCTTCCCAAACAGTGCCACCTACTGGAGACCTGGAGTTTATGTATCTGAGCCTACATTCTCATCAAGGCGGACGGCAGGAGCACACTGGCAGAGGTCTTCTATCGCTCTGCACTAGGGCGGAGGAGGCATTTCTCCCCGACGAGTGAGAAGCTTCTGCCAGCCAGTAACAGACAAAGGGTATCCTTTCATGTGTCTTCATAAGAGACGCATAGCTTAAAAATGATGGAATATAAACAACTGACATCCCATAGCATTCAGCTGGTCACCCTTGGGCAGGCTGCTGGATTCATATCTGGTCCAGAGACCGCATGACAAGACAGGGAGCCAAGAGTGGGAGTGACCACTGCGTGACAACCTTCTAGAGGGAGGAAACAAGGGCTCCACAGGTCCATCTTCATCCTTTTTGTGGGCCATTCCACCAGCGACCTAATGACATTGGGACAGGCCACATGCCTTAAAACTTCTACCTCCTTTCACACAGCCACACGGGGACCAAACTTCTAAAGTATTGATCCTTTTTTTCAGATTTTTTAATTTAAACTAGAAACAAGCTTGTTTTACATGTCAATCTCAGTTCCCTCTCCCTCCCCTGTTCCCCTGCCCCCCACTGATCCCCTGTCCCACCCCCTGTCTGCTTCCCAGGGAGGGTAAGGCCTTCCATGGGGGATCTTCAAAGTCTGTCATACCATTTGGAGCAGGACCTAGGCCCTCCTCCGTGTGTCTAGGATGAGAGAATATCCTTCTACATGGAATGGGCTCCCAAAGTTCATTCGTGTACTAGGGATAAATGCTGATCTACTACCAGAGGCCCCTTAGATTGCCAAGGCTTCCTCACTGACACCCACGTTCAGGGAGTCTGGATCAGTCCCATGATGGCCTCTCAGCCATCAGTCTGGGGTCCACGAGCTTCCCCTTGTTCAGGTCTGCTGTTTCTGTGGGTTTCTCCAGCCTGGTCTTGACCCCTTTGCTCATCACTCCTCCCTCTCTGCAACTGGATTCCAGAGTTCAGCTCAGTGTTTAGCTGTGGGTGTCTGCTTCTGCTTCCATCAGATACTGGATGAAGGCTCTAGGATGGTATATAAGGTAGTCATCACTCTCATTATCCAGGAAGGGCATTTAAGTATTAATCCTTTAAGTATAAAGCACTCATACCACAAAACTTGCTCGATATTTTTTCTAATCCTTATCCAGTATATAGATGGGACATACAGATGTCAGAGAGGGTGCCTCATAGCATTGAACAGTAAGAGTGAGAACAGAGGGTCATGTCTGAGCCTCTGACATTTCCTCCAGAAGTTTTGCTTTGGATTGCAAATACCAAATGGTAGGATGATGCTCTGGACGTGGTTACTATGACTATAATCAAATGAGCCGGGCAAAGGCTCATGCTCGTGGGCATATGGAATGGTGTTCCTAGCTGCCCAGTCACCTCCGTTCCAAAGAATATCATGTTATTGTTGCAGACTAATTTTAAATCTGCTTTCATTGTTTGTTGCACGGAAAAAATGTAATTTAGTTCTGGGGGAAATCTAAAGCACAAATTGGTCCAAACTGCAATGATCACAATTTGTCTTCTTGTTACCCATAGATACTGTCAATATTCTGATGATGATAACTACCAAGGTCATCATAGAATGTAAATGACAAGCAGCAACACTGAGCCTTCACTCTTTCCCTGAAAGAGACCCAGCCACCAGGGTGAAAACACTGGACCTTGCTATCGGGGTAGGGATGGAAATCAGGCACATCTCTCTGTAGAGAATGGAGCCACCTGTCCGATAGTCTCCAGCTAATGCCCCGCCCATGCACCCAGGAACACACTCCCTTAGTCACCACCGAAGAACATCACACAGGCCACTTCTTCTCAAATTACTCTCCAGTGCTTGATCCCCACCTGGGTATTAAGCAGCTCCGAGAGGAGGCGGCCAACACAAGTTTCCTTGTGGCCATGGAGAGCATGGCGGGGTGTGGTGGTTTAAATGAGAACTAATCCTCCACAAACTCACATAGTGGAAGACTTTTCTCCCACGTGGTCATGCTGTTTAGGGAGGTTATGGAACTTTTAGCATGTAGCACTGTACCTGAGGAAGCACATCTCTGGGGGAAGCCTGTGAAGGTTTATAGCCTCCCCCTCTTCCAATTCTCTCTCTCCTCTCTCTCCCTCTCTCCCTGCCTCTCTCCCTCTCTCTCTCAATCTCTCTATCTGCCTCTCTCTTCCCTCTCTCTGTCTCTCTGTCTTTCTTTCTCTTCTTCTTCTTCTTCTTCTTCTTCTTCTTCTTCTTCTTCTTCTTCTTCTTCTTCTTCTTCTTCTCCTCCTCCTCCTCCTCCTCCTTCTCCTCCTGCTCCTCCTCCTCCTCCTTCTCCTCCTCCTTCTCCTCCTTCTCCTCCTCCTTCTCCTCCTCCTCCTCCTCCTCCTCCTCCTCCTCCTGCTCCTCCTCTTCTCCTTCTTCCTCTTCCTCTTCCTGCATGTGGATGGAAATGAGACCCTGCTTCCATGTCATGCCTCCCATACCATTGTGGACTTTATTCCTCTGGACTCATAAGGAAAGACTATTTTTCTATGAGTTGCTCTTGGTTGTGGTGTTTGACCACAACCACAGAAAAGCCACTGATATGTGGGGCAAGCTGCAAGCTTGAGTTTATTATTAATGCAGAGCAAAAAGAAATATGTTTGGAAAGAAAGGGTTCCAAGACATCCTACACACACTTTTCTTCTTGGAAACTCAGTAGTTTCCACGAACACCGCTATCTTCTTTCCTCTCTGGGCTTCTCTCTACGTTAGGACAGAGGAAGTCTTGCTTCCCGTTCTGCCACAATCTTCCTGAGAAGCTGCCCGAGGGCATCCTTTCTTTCAGAGGGTAGAAGCCTAAAGGGTAGCGTTAAGATAACCATAGTTCTGCGACAATCCACTGGACTCAAAACTTGCCTCAGTATCCCCATCTACACAGTGGAACAATAATCTGCCCACCCTATTCATCCTTGGTCCATGCCCTGTCCCCAGGCTCTCTGCACCAGTGGTAACTCCATTTCTCCAAGGAATAGCATCATGGGAAGGAGCTCAAGTCAGACACAGAGGGAGTGAAGGAGCTCTCAGCTAAGTGAAACTGGGCCTCACTACATATGGTAATAACAGTAGGGTATTTCTACATTAGCCTTTAAAGTAACTTTATGTGTCCATTAATAGTAGTTTTGCTAGGTTCCTTTAAATACTTAGACTGTGTGAACTACTCTATTCACTGAATGAACTCACTCATTCACCTTCCAGTGGGCATTTACTTATTTCCTGGTCATTCATTGCTCCCCATCTAAAGGACAGGAAAAAAAAGAGATTCTGTAATTAGCTCAATATTAGTTGTAAAGAGGAGATATGCAAATGCCATATGTGCCATCACTGCTTTCAATGCCCTCGGTGCCCGCCACCACCACCACAACCGCCGCCACCACCATCCCCATTACCATCATTACCACCACCACCATCACCATCATCAACACCATCATCACCATCACCACCACCATTTACTGAATGTCTACTGTTTGCCTGTGACATGGGCTGAGCACTTTACACGGATTATTTTATTTAACCCTTGTAACAATTAGGAGACCATCATTATGTTTATTGTTCCCACATGAACCACAGAGAAAATGAGACAGAGACGCTACGTGCCTGACCCACAGTTACATGGCTGAGAAACAGCAGTCTCAGGAATCAAGCCGGAAGTGTCCTATTCCACTGTCTGTGCTTTTAGCTGCAGCCTACTGTGCGCAGGGCATGCCGGGTAGGAGTCTGTGTGCGCAGGGCATGCCGGGTAGGAGTCTGTGTGCGCAGGGCATGCCGGGTAGGAGTCTGGCATAAGCGAACCCTTGGAGGTGAGACAGAGAAGAGAGCTCCCAGCACTGGTAGGCGAGCTAAGTGAGGCAAAGCTTGAGCTAAGGGGGCTTCGTGGGCAGGATTACAAACACACTCTGGATGTGACGAGCGACCGTGAGATACTTCAACCTAGAGAGGTGTGACCCAGTCTCGGCGCTTCAAGGAAGAGCCAGCTACTGGAGGACAGAGCAGGAGTGGGGGAACCAGTTCAATGGGACCAACAAGGATGCTGTGGGACCCCAGAGGGGAGGGTCAGCTGAAGATGTAGATAAACAGGGTTGTCCCCAAGATGTACCACCTGACTTGCCAGAAACAGAAATGAGCACACACAGCGCCTCCTGCCCTTCCTCCTGCCCCTCCTCTGTCTCCAGTAATTGGCCCCCCCGGCAGTTGGCACCTTTCTTTCACTTAACGAAGTGCCTTTTCTTTGGGCTTTAATTGTTAAAGCCCCCCATTTACCTATATCATCTCCGTATTCCAATTACCCACTTCCATCTTACGGCTAATGAGGCCTTAAACCCGAGTGCAGGAGTGCCTATCCCGGAGTCTGCTTGTGGAGATGAACAGACAGGACAGGACACTCAGACAAGGACACGGTTCAGTGCATGTGAAGGAGAGACGTCTAAGACGAGTTCCTCGCCTCCTTTGTCTGCTGGACCAACCCTACAGAGAGCAGATCTCAGTTCCCCTGCGTTCCGCCCCACAGACACAAGAAAAGCACCGTGCCCCGGGAAAGCGGCCCTGGGCCTTGCTCTGGGTGTGAAAGTTTCCTTGCGCTCTAGTCTGTCACAGGCTCACACTGCGTTAGATGCGGGGTCTTTGCTTATCTTGCCAAGGTCTTTAAGGAAGCTGGCATGGGCCAACAATGGAGCGGGAGATTGTGGATACCCTCCCTACACAGTCATGCTCAACAGACAGAAGCCAAGCTTTTCAAACAGCCTGTTCTGGGAAGGAATATTGTCCCCCAAATTTCAAATATTTAGCCCTGGATGGGTTAAATGATGAGTCTCAGCCTCCCCCATAAAACAGGAAGACTATTAATTACTCGGTATTAAGAAACTTAGCACCTGTCGAACTTGACCATGTAGACTTAATACCTGCTAACTGATAAACTATGAATATTACAATATCAATTATTAATATTACACCTGATTTAGAGGGGAACTTTTGGGTGCCAAGCCCAATATCGATCCATGACTTGTAACCCTGGCCTGCCTTTTCTGCAACAACCCAGCTGCATACTATGATCTACATGTAACAAACTGAAGTGTTTTCTATTCATATTTTAAAAATGTTGCTTGTAGGCGATGTTTGCGAAGGCTGCTGCATACAGAACTCACCTGACTGGGGTAAGCCGTAGAAATGGGCTTCCTCACAGCCCCGGAAGCTGAAGGATGACGTCAAACCGCAGTCAATGCTGCTTGGCCCTCCGGAGGCTGCGTTCCCTGGCTTTCATGAAAGGGACGTCATGCTTAAGGACTCTCCACTGGGTCTCGTGTGCGTGCGTGCGCGCGTGCGTGCGTGCGTGCGTGCGTGCGTGCGTGTGTGTGTGTGTGTGTGTGGTGTCAGGGGATTGGCAGTACATATGCTACAGTATATGTACATGTGAAGGTCAGAGAACAGCTCGCAGAGTCAGCTGTCTCCTCTCACCTTTATGTGGGCCCAGAGTGCCGAACTCAGGTCTCCAGGCTGGTGCAGAAAGCTCCTTTACTCCCCGGCGCCGTCTTACTCTCCAGTCAGTTGTTTCTTTAACGGGTGCTGTCCACACATGTGATTTCATCCCAGGCCCTGGGAGTTTGGCCTTCAACGTCTGAGCTGAGGATGAGACACAATTGTTAATGGCATAAACACGCTGTGGTGATGTCATGTCCCAGCTAGGGGTCATTAATCTAGGCTATCAAATGTTAACCTAGTTTTATATCTATTCAGGTCCTTTTCATTCTGCTTGAATGAATGGCACAGAGGGTCATTATGGCCCCTTCCACACACACCCGGATTCCACTGTGCGGGGAGTGACAGGTTCACTGTGCACCGGAGATGCCTTCAGGGTCCAGGCTCCAGTCAGAGCATCTGTCCTTCTCTGTCCTCACTGGATAAAGCAGGTCCAGCCTGAAGTCTGCATTTGGGATGTGGGCGGATCACATGATCTCAGAGCAGCTACCTGGCAGGTATTCTGATTCGTGCTTTTTTTATTTCCAGAACCCAGAGGAAGTGTCCCCAATATTGGAAACTTCTCCACGTGGAGACACAGTCCCTCAGCTAACTTAAATATCACAAAAGGATACAATTAAGGTGTTTCCCGGGAACTCCGTGATGGCACAGATTTTGTGTTTAAAATTCTTACTTAGGCTTCACCAGGTGATGGTGGTGCACACCTTGAATGCCAGCACTTGGGAGGCAGAGGCAGACACATTTCTGTGACTATGAGGCCAGCCTGGTCTACGGAGTGAGTTCCAGGACAGCCTCCAAAGCCACAGAGAAACCCCGCCTGGAGAAAACCAAACAAACAAATTAAAAAAAAAATCTATTTCATTCCCAGCCCTGTGTTTTTCAAAGTGGCACTGGGGAAACTCTGCCAGCCTTCTCTCCCTGGATAGCGGAGGAGCCACAAATGACTTCGGCCTCTGGTAGGCTGTGGTGCGGCCCAAAGCTAACCCAGACCCCAAGTCCTTACTGTTGCCTCCCAACTGGTTCCTCAGGCCGCCTTCCACCCATCACTGCTCTCCGCCCTGCATTTTTCTTATTGTTTTCAGCCCTGTGTTGTGTGTGGTCTCTGCAATGATAACTGCTTCTCCAGAAGATTAATGAAGTATGGGATAACTTAATATGCATGACACTGGGTTTAGTCAGAATTAGTTGTGTCTTGATTTTTCCTTCGATGCTGCAAATAGACCATGAAAAGAACGTCTTTCTTCCTCAAACAAAGAAAAAATCTCTTGATCTTGAGTGAGCGTTTTCTTTATATACATGCCATTTGCTTTTTTTAAAGTAAAAAAAAATATGTTTTGTGAATGGAAGCTCGCGGGTCAGGGTTTGCACGATTTTGTCTTCCAGGAGACTTGAAGATGGTTTCCAAATCCAGCTTATTTAAGGCGCTATGGACAGCACCTGCCACAAGAGGGAGCAGTTCGTGAATGGTAGCAACAAGTGTGACTGTGTGGTGATGGAAAGAGAATCAGGGAGAGAAAAAAGAATTCTGCGGAAGAGAAGACGACTGGTCCCAGCCTCTGGGACAGACCTTACTGTCTGTCCTTCCTCATCTGTCTACACACGGGGCTACGTGACCTAGAGAAGGCTCCGGAACCGTGATGAGTCCTTCCTACCTTGGCCCCAACCTGTACCTGTTGGACAATACTCCAAGTGCTTGCTTGCAGATGTTGTAAATTTCTTCTTCCTCTTTATTTTTCCCCTAAAGTTCTTGTCCTATTTATTATTTGTGGCAAAAAGTCAATATAAAAAACTGGAAATGAATCCATGAAACGATTATATACCATTTATGGTCTGTATGTATTGGACTATCGCTGGGTTTGTGGTTGTCAAACTCTGGGTGAAATGTTTGCTCAGGACGGGCTCCCCAAACAGTTCTGCACACTAGGGCTGGATGCTCTACTGAATAGCCCAGCGTGTATTTGACACTCCAGACAAGAGTAAAATATACCCATGGAATCTTCCCCCTTTATTAGGCTACAGATTCAAATATCAAACTACGTTTGCTTTCAGACCGTGGGCTACCCAAACCATGTCTCCTTTCGTCTTGGAGAAGGGGCGAATTGTCACAATAGACTCCTGTGTGCTTCTATGATGCTCGTCTGTGAGGTTTCTTCGTCACCTTTAGCACAGGTTGTTATGGGCTGAAAATAATGAGGACAGCTACTGTTCATAGAATACATACTCCCTTATGTTTTGAGAGGGCTGCTTTTAACTGATGTTTGGTTCGTTCCCCTAACCTTGCTCTGGTTGGTGAAATACGTGTAGAAGCAAAAATGAACAATTTCCAACCTTGCTTCTCCACCCACATTGAGAGCAAGACACCCCAAGCAAAGCTCTGTGACACAGAACTGTCTGCCTACTCCGCCACACTTGTGATCAGGTAAACAAAGCGTTAATGGGCTGGGCAGTGGTGGCTCACGCCTTTAGTCCCAGCCCTAGGAAGGCAGAGGCTGGTGGATTTCTGGGAGCTCAAGACCAGCCTGGTCTACAGAGCTGGTCTCAGGACAGGCTCCAAAGCTACAGAGAAACCCTGTCTTGAAAAAATAAAAATAAATAAATAAAAAGCATTGGTGGAAAGTCATCCACATCTTTTTCTAAGCAAAAGTATTATTTGCCAAAAGCTATTCTCTGGTACTCTTTCAATGGAATGACAAGATCCTTCCAGGAACAGCTAAGCCAACAAGTATTGTCTGCACCCTAGACTGGGTCTTGTGGGGGGTGCTACTTGCTGATGCTGAAGGCACAGGAGAGACTCCACAGCCAGCCATGCAAGTGGGTCCAGTGCGGGAGAGATGCCCTGTGAAGGCCCCTCGGAAGGACCAGGATAAACACTCTGTCTTATGGCCTTTGAAGAATGGCCTGGTGGGTATCTTCTCTCTAGTTTATCTCAGCACTCACGCTTGTTTAATCTCTGTTCTACACAATTCCCTTAGGGTGGTCTTATTGACTCCCTCGTGTTGGACAAGTTGGAGAAAAATCTTTGGTGCATCTTCACATGTAAATGCTTGCTTATGGAATCTTTTGGCTTTAAAAATAAGCTTCTGGCCGGGCGGTGGTGGCACACGCCTTTAATCCCAGCACTCGGGAAGCAGAGGCAGGCGGATCTCTGTTTGTTCGAGGCCAGGCTGGACCGACAGCCTCCAAAACAATACAGAGAAACCCTGTCTCGAAAAAAAGAAAAACCATAAATAAATAAATAAATAAATAAATAAATAAATAAATAAGCTTCTGCAGTTGTTACGAAGTGGGGTTCCAACATGGAGGTTCTAGTGCAGACTTAATTCATAAGTGAATGGACAACTGGAAGAAGTCGCCTGTCCTCATAGTTTCGCATTCTGTGAGCCTAAGGTGAGGGCATGGGGCAGATGGTTTCTTGATTCTGGTCTGGAGTTGGTTCTCCCGTGGTCCAGTTAGGTGGGGAGGGGAATCCTGCAAACCCATTTTACAGTTGGGGATGCTAAAAAGTGGAGAGCTGAAGGCAAGGGTGTAATTATTTCACTAGACTCAAGATAAATGGGTGTGTATTGGGGAACAATTACACAGAAAAATTACAAAGAGCCGCGGGAGCGTTTCTCTGCCCTTCCTACCGGATCAGCTGACCCACCAGAAAAGACTGCGCAAAGGAAAGCCAAGCCTCAAGCTTCTTCAGTCCAGTCCCCCTGAAGCCACACCCAAAGGGGTGTGGCCACAGTTAAAGGTTCACAGGCAAGATGCCTACAGAGGGCCTCAGAGGTATCCTCAAAGCACAGAACAAGTGAAAGCCACTAGGGCCTTTGGCTGCCAAGATGGAAATCCTTCAGACTGAAGCTGAGGTCCTGGCTTCAATCGAGGGAACACGCAGGCGTGCGCGCGCACACACACACACACACACACACACACACACACACACACACACAAGCATGTTACAGAGTCTCAAAGATTGGATTTGAGTTTTGGCTTCATAAATCCATGCCTGCTTTTAATACTGGTGACATATCCCTAAGCCTCAATTCCCTGGCATATAAATATGAGAATAAACATGCGGGATTTATAAAAGCAGCTCTAAAATGACAAGGAAAGTGTCCCCCCTACAGTGCCCGGTGACCGGTAGCTGCTCTGCGTTGGCTACTTTGTCTCCCTTTCCCCTCGGAAGTCAGAGGATCCAAGTCAGCCCAGTGTTCAAATCCAGACTCTTCTGCTCTCTGCCTGTGGCTCTGAGCAGTTTGGAAGGCATCCTGTGCCCCATGCAACTTGGACTACCATATGCAACAAACGTGGAGACGCCAGGAGGCCAGCGCAGGCTCCCGGTGCTATGCTCTGGGCACAGGCGACACACTGTGGGCACTAGAGCCGCTGTTCATCCATGAATAGACTAGGAAAAACAGGCAGCGAGAGGTCAGGGGAAGGGACCAGCAAGCGATCCTGGCATGGGATTTCAAGCCAACCTTTCCTTTCAAGTCAGACTCGTACTAACAGGGACTTAGAGCAAGAACTACAGATTGGGGGAAAACAAGCCAACAGTTACACAATGAAATAGCTCCTTTTTAATCAACGAATTATATGAACCCTAATTTCTAAAAATGTTAATGGGGAGTATTATGCGTTCATATGCAGTTCTGGAAGATTGATGCCAGTCTTAATATCTAGAGATGCCCTTCAAATTTCCCATCTGCCTGGAATAGGTCTAATGTGATAATAAACAGGAAATTGACTGGGCCAGGGGACATGCAGTTCTGTTTTGTACCATAAAATATAGGCGGCTGCTGACTTCGAATATTAATTAGCTGATCCTTCCTTTCCAAATTAAGAACTCAGCTTTGTATTACTTGCACGGATGCAATGATTTGGCTCTGTGATTTCGAGTGCATCAGATCTCATTCACGAAAATATTTTCGGAGCACTTAATCATTTCTAGGACCTTCCAGGCAAAGGCTGAGGTAAAAACCCTAGGAATGCCATGGAAAATCTCTCTCCACCTAAGAAGCTGATGTGGGGGGTGTGGAGAGGAGGATGAGAGTAAATGTGCTTATAGGGAATTGTTCTAGAAACGGCCCCACTTTTCTGGAGAATCCAGGTTGACTTTACTTCACAGTCATTGGGAAATGTGTGAGCTCTCGCCTCCTTTTGCTTTGGTCAGAACATTAATAGGTGTTCCTCTTTTTTTCCCTCTGCTCCCTTGTTTTTTGTGGCTACGCTAAGATATTTTATTAATTTTTAAATAAGAAGTTGCTGCACAGTCAGCACATGGCAGGTATTCTTTGAGGTGCTACTCGGGGAGCTGGAGGCTGCTAGGTAGATCACATGCAGTACCTTTACCTTCAGGGGTCATGGCTGAAGGGCAGGCTCACAGGTGACTGTGGAAGCACCCAGGTGACAGAATTCACTGGGTGACAATGAGTGCATGCCGGGGCTGTCTCACTGCCCTTAGTTTGTCCATGAGTGCCTGCAAGGAGACCTATCTCAGAAGGCTGGTGCTAGGGTTACATGAACCGAGCGATCTAAAGCGGTCTTCACTCCACTCTGCTAGACTGAGGACCCATCACTGTCTGCTCTCCTCCTGTTTGCCCCTGGGCTTCATTGTTTACTGACTCGCTCCCTGGGCTCCCCACACTGGGAGGAGAGACATGCAGTGTTCTGCCTTCCCACAACAAAAACAAAACCTGAGCTGCTGTTCTGTGTCTAGATACCGCTTTCCTTCGGGGATCTGTGGCTCCCCCTCCCACCCTTCACCAAAGCTGCTGCGATTGCACAGGCTTCGGTTTGTAACTGTATCCCAGAGCTCTGGTGCTGATTCTCCAGTAGATTTCCCTTTCTAATCCAAGTACCTCCCGAGGCACACTCTGAGGACGGTTCACCTGTACCATTGATGTCTTGCCCCTGGAGCAGGCAGATTCCATAAGGGCAGAGATCTTTCTTTTTCCTGTTTGACACACTGAGAGCAGGGAAACACGCCATTTCAGTTTGGAACTCATTTGAGAGAGCTGGAGTGCTGTCTGTCCTGAGTCACCAAGGATCCTAATCAACAGTGTGACAAGTTCAGGCTTTCCCCCTTAAATGTCACAAGAGAAGCAGCACTTCCTTTTTATTACCGTTTTTTTTTTTTTGAGGAAGTGGACCCGAATCGGTTGACATCTTTGGGTCATGGCAGTTGCCATGGAGAGACCTGAAGAGTTCAGGAATGGATGGAAGGAGGTGAGTGGGAGTCACTTCAGGAGCAGGAGAGATGTGGGTGGCTCTGATTCGGGTGTGAAGGCAAGGAGATCGAAACAGCTGTAGTGGGCAGGCATGGAGCTGTCAGGACACGCAGACCCCAGGAACATAGGGAGGACAGAGGGAGAAAACCAGAGGGCACTGGTAAGTTTGAGGTAGGCTTGGATCATAAAGCACACATTCACATAGTTTACTGATAGGAGTAAGGGTGAAGGTGTGTGTGTGTGTATGTGTGTGTGTGTGTGTGTGTGTGTATGCATGTGTGTATGTGGGGAGGGTCATACATATGTATGTGTGCGTGTATGCGCATGTGTGAGAGAGGTAGACAGTGTATTATGCACTTATATGTGTTACATAGTGTACTATGAATGTGATGTATACTGTGCCGTGTGTGTGTGTGTGTGTGTGTGTATGTGTGTGTGATATAAGTTGTACAGTTAACAAAACTAAGGTAAGATCTGCTCTTTATAGTCACCTAAAACCACTCTGCATATACACAAATGCATGATGACGTTAGGTGACCATGAAGTCCAGATCCTACATCATCTAGAATCCACTCAAAGCAGCAGTCAGCAGGTTCATTG